TCTTATAGTAGAGCAAATTAATGTAAGATTCTTTCATTATCTGTCATCTGTATTACCTACCTGGAAGAATTATCATGAACACCAAATTAAGAATATTTCATAAGCTGTAAAATAAACAAATGAATAAAAAATATATATCAGTCTATCAAGGCTGGGTACGGTGGCCCATGCCTGTAATCCCAGCACTTCAGGAAGCCAACGCAGGAGGATCGCCACAACCCAGGAGTGTGAGGCCAGGCTGGGCAACACGGTGAGACCCTGTCTCTAAAATAAACAAACAGAAACAACAAAACACTAGAATCATTATCCATCAAATAATTTGTTGTAAATAAGTTGTAATTTGTTAATTTCAGTTTTCGTCAATTATAACTGAATTTTCCCTGGTGGTCTTTCATTACAATGCCAAAAGTATGTTAGTAGCTAACTCATTAGTAGCGTTATATAACACGGATACAATGCAACATGCCAGATTCCATTCCATGTGCATTCCATATTAATATGTTTTTTATTATTAATCACTTAATCTACATCTAACAACAAAATGGTGTTAGAGAAAGATGAATTTGTCCAAGGTAGTACAACCAGCAGTGGCAAAGCCACACTATCTTGCTTTTTCTTTTTTTTTCCCCCCCAAGAGATAGGGTCTTGCTCTTTTGCTCAGGCTGGAGTGCAGGGGGTGTGATCACGACTCACTGCAGCCTCGACCTCCCAGGCTCAAGCAATCCTCCTGCCACAGCCTCCTGAGTAGCTGGGACCATAGGCATATGCCAACACGCCTGGCTAATTTTTCAGATTTTTTTGTGGAGATAAGGTCTCCTTATGCTGCCCACGCTCATCTCCAACTCGTAGGCTCAAACAATCCTCCCACCTCAGCCTTCTGGCTGCTTTTTTTTTTTCTTTTTGAGACAGAGTTTTGCTCCTGCTGCCCAGGCTGGAGTGCAATTGTGCTATCTCGGCCTACTGCAACCTCCGCCTCCTGGGTTCAAGTGATTCTCCTGCCTCAGCCTCGCGAGTAGCTGGGATTACAGGCACCCGCCACCATGCCCGGCTAATTTTGTATTTTTAGTAGGGATGGGGTTTCACCATGTTGGTCAGGCTGGTCTACATTATTCACTCTATAGCCTTTACCAAAATTAGAGAGCGGGTTAAGGTGGAGGTTACTTACTTGTAGGAAATCAACTATAGAACACACGTTAGTTTACAAGAAAAAAGACTGAGAAGACCTATTTCCAGGTTATCCCTCCTCACACTTATCAGGGGGACAGGCTATAACCCTGTGGGAGACAGCTAGAAAAAAATGTATTATCCTCCCTCCCCCCAGCATATGTATTTCCAAAAATCTTCATTAAGCAATTTGACACCATTACACAACTATTAGGCAGTGACCTAAAATGGCCGGACGTGGGGGCTCACGTCTGTAATCCCAGGACTTTGGGAGGCCAAGGTGAGAGGATCACTTAAGGTCAGGAGTTCGAGATCAGCCTGACCAACATAGTGAAATCTTATCTCTACTAAAAATACCAAAATTAGCTGGGCGTGGTAGCACGCACCTGTAGTCCCAGCTACTCGAGAGGCTGAGGCAGGAGAATCGCTTGAACCCAGGAGGTGTGGAGGTTGCAGTGAGCTGAGATCGTGCCACTGCACTCCAGCCTGGGCAACAGAGAGAGACTCTGTCTCAAAAAATAAATAAAAATTTTAAAAAGTGACGTAAAATGTCATCTTGTCTAAACTTTGCTGTTGTTGTTAAGAGATGGGGTCTCATTTTGTCACCCAGGCTGGAGTGCAGTGGCACAATTATAGCTCACTGCAGCCTCAAACTCCTGGTGTCAAGTGATCCTCCCACCTCGGCCTCCGGAGTAGCTGCAGCTACAAGTATGTGCCACCCCACCCAGCGCATTTTGTCTAAACTTCTTGAACTTAAAACTCTTCACAATATTTGTACAAAGGGAATCCCAGCCTATGTCTAATATTCTAGTGAAATGGCAGCGTGCTCATTCATCATTCACTTAACACATATTGAGTGTTTACTGTATTCCAGGCGTGGCTCTGGGCACTGCGATTCAGCAGTCAACAAAATAGACAAAGATCCATGCACCTGACTTTTTATATTGTTTGTTTTTTATTACCAATGTTTTTAACAATAGTATTCTATTTTGTAACCGTAATTCTCAGTTCTTTAATCTTCGTTTTGTATTTAAATGGATATAGTCTCACCATTAGTTATTTTCTCAATACTTGAATTATTTGATTTATATTTGATTTTCAGGATTGAGTAGTCCATTTTCATGGTATATATTTATTATTTAACTATTCAGAGTTTCTCCTACTGATTCATTATTAAAAAGTAAATGCAAAAGGATGCAAAAAGATATACTATGCAAACATCAATCTAAACACCAATCTAAAGGGAATATATTAATATCAGAGACCTTAGAACAAAGAATACCCCTAGGGATAATGAGGGTTATTTCATAATAATAAAGGTATCAGTTTACCAACCAGACATAATAGTGCTAAATGTATATGCATACATAAAAGAGCGTTGTCCTGGTGTAGTGGCTCATGCCTATAATCCCAGAACTTTGAGAGGCTGAGGCAGGTGGATCACCTGAGATCAGGGGTTCAAGACTAGCCTCGCCAACATGGCGAAGTCACATCTCTACTAAAAATACAAAAATTAGCAGGGAGTAGTGGTGGGCACCTGTAATCTCAGCTACTCGGGAGGCTGAGGCAGGAGAATTGCTGGAAACTGGGAGGCGGAGGTTGCAGTGAGCATAGATCTTGCCATTGCATTCCAGCCCAGGCTGACAACAGTGAGACTCTGTCTCAAAATAAATAAATAAAATAAAATAGCTTTAAAACAGTTTAAAGAAATTTATAGAATGAACAAATCAACTTTGCTATTCCTCTGTCAGTAACTGTCAGAACAAGCAGACACACGATCAGTACAGATACAGATTGGCTCAATCTTGTCAACCTTTAGAGAACACTCCAGTTCACCTGACACATCAACCAAGACAGACCGTATTCTGGGCAATAATACAAGTCTCCATAAATTTTAAAAGATTATATTGAATATTGAGGGAATGTATTTTCCTCCCGGGTCCACAAAGGGGCATAGTTTCAAAGCAAGAACTTCCCAGTGCCATAACTCGTCACTCCCCCCACTCCGGGAACTTAGAGGCCTTTGTTTAAACTTTCATGCGTGGGAAAAAAATCAAAGGTCAATCACTCCAGTGGAAGCTTAAAGGAACTCCTTTCATAGGACGAAAAATTTGAATGGGGTGGGAATTCCTCCCAAGTTAAAAGTCTCCTTCCCTGGCAGACTCCATGTCTGGATCCCCTTGCACAACCTCATGGAAGCTGCTCTTTCTCTTTTCTATTACTTTCTCCTTTTTCTCTCTCCGCCTAAATAAATCACTTTCTGCAAAACTCTTTGGGGTCTGATATTTACCTAATCACTCACCGCGACCGTTGTGGTCTCCTCTCCCATTCTTGGGTGAGTTAAGGACCAAGAGCCTGGAAGAACACCGCCCACCGGGGAGCAAGCTGAGCCTCCCCGGATCCCGGAACCCAGTCTCAGTGTGTTCTCTGATCACAACAGAATTAAATTAGAAATCAATAAAAGAAATATAACCGAAAATCTCCAAATATTTAGAAATCGAGCAACTCACTTCTATTTCATTGGGTCAAAGTATAAAGCACAAGTGAAAAAGAAAATATTTTGAACTGAATGGAAATGAAAACATACCGGACTCTGTGATGCATTTAATGTGGTACAAAACTAGGGAAGGGGCCAATTAGCCCAGGTAAACCAAAGGAATGAGATTATTAAGTGGGAACAGAAATTAATGGAATAAAAAACAAAGCAGCGGGAAAAATCAATAATAAGCTGATTTTTTAAAAGAACAATACAATTGGTAAAACTCTAGCAAGAATGATAAAGAAAAAAGAACCCCTAAATTACCAATGTCAGAAATTAAAGAGGAGACATTGCCGTAAGTCCTTTGGACATTAAAACGCTAATAAGGAATATTATGAACAACTTTATGACAATACATTTGAGAACTTACATGAAATGTACAAATTCCTCAGGACATAAAAATTATCAACTCTAACTCAAGAAATAGAAAATCTGAATAGTTCTATATTAATAGAAATCATGTAGCAATGTGAAACCTTCCAATTTAGAGAAATCCAGGCCCTCTGGTGAGTATTTTCATATTACATATTTTACAAATATTTATGAGTATTACATATTTAAATATTTAAGGAAGGAATAATACGAATAATACCAATCCTACACAAATTCAGAAAATAGAAGACGGGGAAACACTTCCCAACAGGATTTTCCTGATACCAAAGCCAGACAAAGAGATTACATGAAAATAATACAGATAATAATCTGAATATAGAAGGAAAACCCTTAATAAGATGTTATCAAATTGAAACCAGGAATGTATATCAAAAGAATAACACAACATGACCTAGCGGAGTTTATCCCGGGAACTCAAGGGTAAGGTTTCAAAATTAACATAAGTTACCATATTAACAGATTACAGGAGAAAAACATGATCACCTCAATAAACGTAGAAAAAGCATTTGACAAAACTCAACAAGGAATATTTTCCAAGCAGTCTTAGAAGTAGAGTGTCTCTGGAGCACAGGACAGGTGTGCTTGCAACCTTGGAAGCTAGAAATTGTGTTTCCTCTGGGGCTGGGACAGGCATGCTCATTGTCCAGTGTAACCTTTCCATCTACAGCAAAGGGCAGGCATGCTTACTAGGCATTATAATATTTGGTTCTCAAAGCTCATTTTCTCCTGTAATGCAACCCACTGTGTGGTCCTCTTTTTGCTGCCTATAGAAATTAGAGCTTGAAGAACCAATGCAAACATACTGATACTCTGGCTCCTGCTGTTGTAACGCTCTCCTTTATCGCTCACTCAGGAGTCCTGTGCCTTCCACTAGAACCCACAAAACTGTAGCACGCGAAAACATTAGCTTACTAGTTGGGGAAAATCTCAGATTCTCCACTGTTCTTGACAATATAAAATATATACCTAATTCCAATTTCTAATTTTAACAACTAGCCTAATCAATTACCAGGTTAATGTGATCATATAATTTAAAATTATTTTGTGGGGGGAAAAAGTACTTGGACAAAGGTTTTTGAAACATTGATTTGAGCAGTTTATTTATATATCTTGGATGGAAGCAATTGATACAGTTTACTTGGAATTCCTAGAAAAAAAAAGAAGAATTCTACTTAGATGACATTTGCCAGTGTATCAAACACACCAAAGAAGCGCTTCACAAGTCACATGATAGGGCAGTGGCACTTACAAATGAACTTTTTATGCTTTAGAGCATAAGTAGTGCTATACTTTAGGAGTCCTGAAGTGCTGCTCACACTTTAGAGTAACAATTAACTCCCTCTTGCTGGCTGCCAAAGTTGCTTAGTGCATATACAATGTACATAATTAATGTAAATCAAAGAATATACATTTTATCTAGAAAAAAATCCCTAAATAATTTCACTGTATAGTAAATTGGATACGATTTTTACAAAACAAAGTTGTATTCATCTTAAAGTTTCCTCCTTACGTCTGTATTCTGTCTAGTGCCCAACAGGCTAAAAGAATCTGAAATACATCTCTACTGACCTACCAGGACTCGTATACCTTTCAGATCTGGAGCCAAAGGCCTACTCCGAGGATGGGAAGTGTCTTCATGAGTATAGTTGTCAAAATGGAATTTCTCTCTTCTTGAAATATAAGTTGTTTTTGAAGGGTCATTATGCTGACTACACATTTTATCACTTAAATATTCTCGTTGAAGATTCCGCATCTCAAATTCCAAAGTATCCCTTTCATTTTCTATGCTTCTTACATAATTTTCTAAAAGTATTTTGTCTTCGGTAAGTCTACTGATGCTGTTTTCAAATTTTATATTTTCTTGACTATGTTTCTTTAGTTCTTCTTTTAGAATCTGATTATCTGTTTTCATTTCCATTACCATTTTTGATAACATTTCACATTCCTTGCCAATTTCTGACAAGCTATTCTTATAAATACTTGCTTCTGATTTTGCAGTTTTTATTTCTTGCAGAAAATTCTCCTCTGCAGTAGATTGGTAGGTTTGAATCGTCTCAATTTCTCTTTCCATAATTTGTCTGGCAGCAGTAGATTCTTGTAATGCTGTTTCAAGGTGAAGTTTTTCATCTTTAACGGTTTCTATTATTTGAAGAAGTGTCTCTTGCTCCGTTTTGGCCAATCTTTCTTTCTCTTTTAGCTGCATCATCTCTAGCTGGTTTTCTTTTAGTTTGTTTTCGAGTGAGCTTTTTTCTTTTAGAAGCTGGTGTGTTTTTTTGTCCAACATTTCTTTTTCATCTCGTATCAACAGAATATTGGTTTTCATTGCTTCCATTTCTATAATCATTCGATTATTGTCCTTATTGACAATGGCCATATCACTTTGAGTTTTGTGTTCCTTACTTTTTAGTTGATCTAATGCTTCGATCATTTGTTGCTTCTCTAAAGAAAGTTGTATATTTTGTTCTTCTAGGGTTTTTTTTTGGCCTTGGAGAACATTATATTTACTAATTATTTTTTTTAATTCTTTAAGACACTCTTTGCTGTCTTCTTCTGTTTTAATTAATTTAGACTGAATAGTACTCTTTTCTTCAACCAGATTCTTAAGTTGCTTTTCATATGTTTCAACTTTCTGTATGAGAGATTGTGTGGTAAAGATAAGAGGTTTCATTTTGGACTTAAGGTTTAGATTTTCATTCTCTAGTTCTGTTACTTTTTTCTGTATCTGCACAGATTCTTTCAGGTAATTCTGTAAGTACTGAATTTTTGCAACACACTGCTCAGTAACAGAATTAACTTTGGAAGTCTTCTCATTTTGAAATATTATTGATCCTTGTTTTACTAGAAATGGTTGTCCTTCTTTGTCTTTCATTTCATGTTTTGTCTGGTCGAGGAATGACAGTGTGTATCTTGGAACTCTGGAATGGAATTTTAAATCTGTAATATTCTTGCCAGTGATGGGAATTTCTTTATTGTTTTTCTCATTTTTCTTTCCCCTGTGTATTTCACTCTTAGATAATTTTTTACATTTTCTACAAAAATTCACATGGAATTTTGACACTGTTTCCCTGAATGGGAGTAATTTGTTTATTAATGCCTCTAATTCTGAAATTCTCTTTGATTTTGTATCTTCATTTAAATTCCCATCCACGTTTTCTTCCTTAATAAAGCCAATTTTTTCCTGGTGAAGAGGTGACAGGTTGTATTTACTGCTACTTTGAACATGTGGATCAGTTTTTAAAATCTGAAGTTCATCTGTAAGTGCCACTTCCCTGTCATGTGACTTTTGAAGCTCTTCTTTCATGTGTTTGATAGAATGGCAAATGTCATCTAAATTTTCACAAAATCCATGTTTGAGAAAAGGCGCAGTAATTTTGGATTTATCCAGTGTTACTCTGTCAGCTTGAGACATCCCATTTTGAGGTACAGTAGGTAGAAAACGATAAAGGTTATTATAATTCTTCAAGATGTCAGAATTTTCTGAAGGGTGTGTAATCATGTTTGAAGATAAATTGTCTGTTGAAGTTCTCAGAGTTAATGTGTCCTCGAAATGTCTCTGGGGTGGAACATTTATACTTTGAGAGAGACTGTTCACACTATCACCACTTAATTTTTCTTCTATTGAATGAAGTGTCTTGGAATCCTTGAAGTGAGGACTTTTCTCCATAGACAGGTTTTCTTCTTGATTCTCTATAGGCTGTAACAGTAAGAAGTACACTATAAATGTATTGTCATTTGCCACATGACCAAGCAGTACAGATAATATTTTGCGGAGGATTT